AATCGACTCCATCAATTTTTTGGATCACAGAAGGGCGTGATCTCTTTTTTCCGGGAGAAGCTAAAGGCTGTGTGGAGGTTGCATTTTGCCTGTCTTTATCTTCTTTTCTAATTTTACTTATAGTTCGTTCACTAACACCCGTATAATATGCCGCCCTTGCATTTCTAGCTACCAGTGGATAAACGAAAGTATTGTTAGCCGCTTCTGCATCGCAAGCACGTATCACGTTTGCTATTATTTCCCTTGCCTGGCTGTGAATAACTTTCCCATGCTTGAATTCCATTATCACCACTAAACAGTAAATTATATTTTCAAAGTATTTGCCAACTGCCTACGCCTATGGGAGTAGGTTTATAAATGACCGTGCCATCGGCACGTTATTCTAGTTTCAGATAAGATAAGAGTTTTGGACCAATCAGCGACCGGATGTTTACCTGCGGCCTGGGTTTTCCAGCTACATTGCCAAATTCAGCGGAACAATTCTATATCTTAAATATGTTAATATGTATGGACCGCATTTTATGTAGAACATCTGACAACTTCGCAATTTTTTGTCCGCATTCTTTCGGCTTGCAATCTTTCGCTGGTCCAACTATATACCCTATGGTGTCTAAACAGATAAAAGAATTCCTTCATATAGGCTAAATGAAAAAAGTATCAAGGAGATGGATTTTAAACCAAACCAGACTTATAAGATATGAGAAATACTTACTATTTTGAAGGGTGATCAAAAAAATGTAACCATTGATTTATAAGTATGATAATATAAATTAATTAAACGTTTTTTCTCCATCTTGACTACTCACCTAAGCTTGTCCATGTACCTGTTTCCCCTAAATTTTGAGCCCTCGATATAGGCAACGACGTTCAGATGTCACTCTAATTTAGGTAATAGATGTAGGGCTTCCAACCCAACCACAAGTTGTTAAACTTCTATGGGACTACCTGCTTATTGCATCTTTTATTTATTTATGTTGCAGTACGTTATTTGGCAATAAAAACATTATTATTACTATTACTATTATTAAATGTATAAAATGTTTAAGGTTGTGGTCCCCAATGAATCAAACATTGCCAACATGAAGAAATATCAAGCACTCGATGACAGTGATGACATATCGCAGGAGTAAAATCATCGTAAAAGATGTTCGCAGCGAAATTGGAATTGTTTAATCAGTAAACAGCACCATTTACCTCATGCCACTGACCTATCACATGACATATTAAATAGTCGACATTCACCACTAAATTCCAGGACCATTGCGGTTACATCTAGCTACAACTGTTAAATTATTTATACGAATAAAAAACAGGAAATGCTATCTGCTTTAAACTGGATTTCACGTCAACTACGAAGTAAAGTAAATATTTGCTGTACTACCTGTTTATTCAGGTTGTGTTGTAGGCATAAAGAATATTACCACTACTTGAATTTAAGCTGAATTGAGTACCGTAGGTTAACTACCAGGAAGCAGAAAAATTATTTTGTAGCTGCTAGTAAATACAAAGACGGCCATTTGAGGACATGAAAGAAGTGATGGCTGACGCAAAGCTGAAAACCGGAAAAGCTCCAGTTATGGGCTCCATAGCAAATGTGGTAGTGATCGTTCTGGTCAAGAGCAAACAAAAAACTGTGTTTTTGTTGATTAACAGAGCAGATCAACAGATGAAGCATAGGGGGGTCATCAGCCGCAGTCAAAATGTTTGTTTGCAGTTTGAAGAGTATTAGTAACTTTGTCATAAAATTATTCGTCTTTTTTTTATATTGTTTTACAGAATAAAATATATAATATAATTCGCTTTAACATTGAACCGCTCATATCTCGAAAACTATGAGCTTCATAGCAAAAATTCGTAAGAACCTTGTGTCCCAGTTCGGTTTCACGACTGGCACGTGTATCACGTATCTTGAAAAGTGACATTAGGCCGATTTTTTTTTGACATTATGCTGTTTTTTACATTATGTAGGTTTTTCCAGAAGATGTTAACTTAGCACTTAGTTGTATGTGTTGCCTAAACGTCATGAGGCTTGTTATCAATCTTTGACTCTGATGTGATGTAAAATCTGCTCCTGAGATGGCATTACTGGAGGTCTAAGCTGTAAGTTTTCTTATCCATTCTGGAAATTATATATACAAATTTGCTGAATTTCAAAAATGAGAGAGATGAGAAATAATTATATTCACTGTCGAATTACAAGCCATATACATGCTAACAGTAATTACACACAACGCGGGCGCGGTGATGGTTTCCCGTAATTCTACTCAGTTTTCCGTAATTTATAACTTTGAACGTAACCTCCCTGCAGAAAGCACAACATATAAATAAATTCGTCATATTCAGTAATGACTTTCTCACGCTGCAACTATCACTGATTTTATACACATACGGACCAATACAAATAATCATCCTGATGCTATCTTGCTTTTCATCCAACTTTCTTCTCAGATATAAAAAATGCAGACACGGATCACTCAGCCTCACAAAGCTATGCAACCAATAATGCGTGTAGTTTAGTTGTGTGATTCCCCCATAGATGAACGTTCACAACGATCCTAGTGAACAAACGTGGAATGACTGTTTGCGCCCTAAAAACTACCTAGTTGGCAAGATGACATCTTAGAGGTTTTTTTTGAAGTTTTATAGGTTTTTTAAATGATACCCGTGCCGGTCACCACTGTGGCCGCTAGATACTACCGATTCTGGTGCTATAGCAGATACGGTCTACTGACCATGAAAGACACAGGCAGCTTGCTGTTTTCACTCTCGCAGTGGTTGATTCTGCTAACAGATGTCTCTTTGTGATAATTTATTTCGATCGAGCTTATATCTTGGATAGAGGATAATTGCTCATCTTTTTATCGGTGTTCTTCGTGAGACCAAGCCTAGACCATATTGATGTTGAGAATAATATTACAAAACAAGAAATTACGATGTTTCGTCGTACTGTACTCGATGTAACGACTTCGAGTATTGGGGTGTCCGAAAGGTTTGTAAGACTGACAATTGTTGCTTAGGAGAGTTGTTATTGTTTTTAGAACTAAGAAAAGTTCACTGAGTAAGTGCAGTAGTTTTTCTTCTGGAAAACAGTAAAAGTAAAAGTAAAAACCCGAACAGGTTATGCGCCCAGTTCACTTAAGTGCATGAGAAGAAAAAAACTCAGAAGAAGCAGTAAAATCCGTAAAATCAGTGAAAGCAAACTAGGGACTTTGACAGCTGAAAATTAAAACCGGAAAAACAAGCAACGAAGAAACTCCAAATATTGAAAAACTGGTAGACAGTGAAAGCTTTGAAATGTGTAGGTTTCAAATAAATATCGTTTTCAAATCTCAAAGACTATGGAAGATCGTGAATGATATAAAAATAATTGATACACCGGCTCCTGCAGAGGGTTAATAGTTGGGAAAAGAAAGATGTAAAAGCTCAGAAGTACATAATTACTATAGTTAATAAAAAGATCCTGCTACATGTGGTGAGTTGTAAAACATCAGTAGAAAGACACTGAAGATATAAAATGTGCATTGTTGCTGAATTTTTCGATCTGACATATCAGAAAGGAAGTTTTTTGTCTCTTCACATCTCTAAAATTGAAAATCTTGCATAAAGACTACGAAATTTGCATCAATCAGTCGAAGATGAAATGATTATGTACAAGATATTGTCTATGTTACCAAGGTACTACAATTACTTTACAACTGCTTGGGAATCAACCGCTGCAAGTAAAAAAAAACATTAACAAAGCTTATAGCAAGACTCCTTGCTGAAGAGCAACGTAACGCTACACAAGAAACTGAGGATGCAGTAGCATTCAAAAAAACAGTTTCCTGTTCCTGATCGAGTAAAAACAAGCAGTACAAATGCTACTCTTGTGGTGACGCTGGACATTTTGCAAAAGCACGTAAAAATAAGTTGACAAAAGGAAGATCAAGACGATGCAACATTTGTAAGAAAACAAATCATGAGACTATTTTTTTTTTCACAAAAAGGAAAATAAAAGGTTGAATCAGGAAAATGAGAATTAAGTAAGGAAAAATGTATTGGCCGTAAATTCAGGTGAATCTTAGATATAGAACTTTTTCAGTATATAACAAATATCAATGTGGCAAAGAAGCAAGAAAAAGACGAAAAGCCTAGGAATAAGTAAGAATCTGCTTTCTGTCAATGCTGTAACAGAAAAAGGTGTAACATTCACAAAAGGAAAGGTAATAATTAGGAATAGTACAGAAAAAGTATTTGAAGGAAGAAAACAAGAAGATGGGCTATATGTAGTCAACACTAGTGAGCATGAAACAACTCTATCAACGGAGACAGTTGATTTTTCCGCTGTTTTGTGGCAATAAGAGACTAGGACATTTAAGCATAAAGAGTCTCATAAAGTTGTTAGACTTATGGGATGGTATAGAAATTAGTAAAAGTGAATGTGATAAACTTGAGAAGACATGTAAAGTTTGTTTAGAGGCAAAACAATCCAGACAACCATGTAAAACTGTTCGGTCACGTTCAACTCGCCCCTTCAAGTTATTCAGACGGATTTATGTGGTCCTGTAGATCCAGTTACATGGGATAATAAAAGATGTATCTTCACATTCTTAGACGATACACCCACTTCTGCATGATTTATCTGTTAGAACATCAATCAGAGGTTCCAGAATTTTTAAAATCATATGTGAAAGGAGTGGAGGCTAGTCACAATCTTAAAGTGTCAAAAATAGGCTGCGGTAATGGAGGTGAGGTACATGAATCATGAACTTAAAACTTGGTGGAAAAACAAGGAGATACTTCTTGACGGCCCAATACCTTATACCCCACAACGCCTCTGACTTGGAGCTCGGCCGGTTGGTGTTGTATACTATCTCTCGAATTTCTTAGTTTGTGTGATAAATACTGGACATTAATTATCAGTTTTTTTCGTAAGTGATGCAAGAGGTGTTCATAGATAACATTTGATTGAGGTGACCAGATAGCATATGTAAGTCTATCAGTTTCTATTAATTTGCATCATGGTCAACTGTGAAATTTGCCAAACATTGGTAACTCGATCAAGGCCACCTATTTCTTGCGACGCATGTAAAAAGCAGTTTCATTCTTTGTGTATCTCAAACACAGATATACTGGGCGTCATAAGTACTGTTCCTGGGTTGTTTTGGAGATGTAAGAACTGCATTCCTAACTGCATTGTAATAAACCAGGATGATGTTAAGAATCTACTGAGTGGCAAAATTGACGAGGCCATGGCTTCTTTCAAGAATCAAGTCACGAAATTATCTGCTGATATATCAAGATCTATGAAATCATCTCATGCAGTACCTTCTGTCAACAAGCCTGTAGTATCCTATGGCGAGGTCGTTAGAAATAAGACCCAGCCAGCATTAATTATTCAGCCAAAAAATGGGAATCATCAAAGCAAGCAAACCAAAGCTGATCTAATACAGCATGTGAATCCTTGTACTGCAGAAGTTCAGTTAGCGAAAGTGAAGGATGTTAGGGATGGTGGTATTCTTATTGGTTGTAAGTCAAAGGAAGAAAATCAGAAGTTGAAAGCTATTGTTCAGGAAAAGTTGTCAGATAGTTATGTGATACGTGAAATTACCGGTATTAACCCGCGGTTTCGGCTAGTGGGCATGTCAGATAAATATTCAGATGATAAATTACGGCACTTGTTATTAAAAGGAAATACTGATATCTTCGAAGATGATTTTGAATGTAAAATTGTTAAGCACTTTCCTACTAAAAAAGACCCTTCTGTATATCAAGCTATTGTTCAGGTGGATAGGAGTAGTTATGACAAAATTGTTAAAGCTGGTTACTTGTTTGTGGGGTATGACAATTGCGCTGTTTACGATGCTATTGATGTGTATCGTTGCTTTAAATGTAATGAATTCCATCATTCTTCTAGCAAATGTAAAAGCGCAGTTGTTTGCCCACTCTGTAGCGAGAATCATGAGGTCAAACATTGCAAATCACAGACTCGTAAATGCTCAAACTGTATAAAACTTAAACAGAAAGATGGTAGTGTGCAAACGGATCATGCTGTTTGGGATAAGCAGAAATGCAAGGCATACAATGAAGCCCTTGATAGATTAAGACACGACCTACTCAGTCAGTAGCAACCAATGCATCCCTTCGTCGTAACTCACAAGGGAGTAGATTCTAATTGTAGTGATAGGCTGCAACCTCTAATATACTACCAAAATGTTCGTGGACTCCGAACGAAAGCTGCTGTTTTTTATAATGCTATTTGTAGGTGTGAATATCCTATCATTGCAATAACTGAAACCTGGTTAGATTTCTCATGTATGAGTAGTGAATTTATTCCAACTACATATAATGTGTTCCGGACAGATCGAGATTATGTAACCACTGGTTGCTCAAGAGGTGGTGGTGTGTTGATTGCGATTGATGAGCGTTTTACAGCATCTTTGATAGAGATACCTGAGTTGGCAGTACTTTCTGCCCTAAAGATTGATGTAGTAGCAGTCAAGGTTTGTACCAACTCTTTTTCAGTTTACATTTGCAATGTCTACATACCACCTGATAAGCCCAATGCTGAATATGAGCAATTTTATGATGCTATCTTGTCATCGCACGTCCTATTTGATAGGAATTTAGTTATAACAGGGGATTTCAACATAGCTAACTACACTTCTTATGCTAATAGTCATGGACGCAACGCAAAATTGGTATCGTTGAACAACTTTGCTGAGGGTCCTGCTATTAATCAGTTTAACAATATTTCAAATTCTATGGACAATACCCTTGATTTAGTTTTCTGTAGTGGTCTGTGTGAGGTTGAACATTCGTGGGATCCGCTGCTAGATGAAGACCCATATCACCCTGCCCTGAATATTTGTTGTAATGTCAACAGCAGTCTCAATACTAAGCATAACTTTCCTGTTTCATTTATAAATTCTTATAATTTCCGCAAAGCCAACTTCCCCCAATTATATAATTTAATTTCAGACATGGATTGGGCTGCTTTAGATGGCTTTCATGACGCGAATGAAGCGTGTGAGTTCTTTTATAATAAACTGTACAATGCTTTTGATACCTGTGTTCCAAAATATGCCCGAGCAACGAAACGTAAATACCCACCCTGGTTCAATTCAGCAATAATTAAGCTTATCAAACGCAAGGAGAAGATTCACCGATCTTATAGACGCAACAATGATCCTAAAACGTATCAGACATTCAGGGAACTTAGATCAAAAATTAGGATAGAGTCAGATGAAGCATACAAAATATATGTCAGACAAGCTGAGAACGAAATACAAAGAGATTCGAATAAATTTTGGGGCTTCTTAAATTCTAAGCGAAAATCAACAAACTTATCAAGTAGGATGATTTACAATGGTAATGAACTTTTGGAACCGAACGACATTTTAAATGCTTTTGCGGATAACTTCTCCAAATACTACTCGTCTTCGTCAGCCACCGAAGAAACTGATAACTTTTTAATGAGCAATGAACAACCACTCAATATTACTAGATTTGAGGAGGATGAAGTTGTCTTAGCCTTGAAGCAAATAAAACCTAAGATGACTACCGGACCGGATAATGTACCAGCTTTTATTTTGCGTGACTGTGCCTCTGTGTTGGCGTGTCCTTTGACCGTTTTATTCAACTTGTGCCTTACCACCTGCACAATTCCAGAACTATGGAAGTTGTCTAAAGTATGTCCAATACACAAAAACGGCAGTAGGAATGATGTATCAAATTTTAGACCTATATCAATATTGTGCAATTTTTCAAAAGCTCTAGAGACATTAATATATAACAGACTATATCATCATGTCAGCAGAAAAATATGTGTTCAACAACATGGTTTCATGAAAGGGCGCTCAACAGTATCAAATCTGATGAACTTCACACAGACCATAGCAGAAAACATTGACAGAGGATTACAAACAGATGTGGTCTACACAGACTTCTCCAAGGCTTTCGACAGAGTTGATCACAGGATGCTATTGCATAAGCTGAAATCTCATGGATTATCTGATCCTTTAATACAACTATTTAAGTCCTACCTCACTGGAAGAAATCAATTTGTGATGTTTAATGGCATCAGATCGTCGAAGTATGTAGCCAATTCCGGAGTGCCACAAGGCAGTAACCTAGGGCCTTTATTGTTCGTCATATTTGTGAATGACATAGTCAATGCTGTTGGCGAGAATTGTTTACTTTACGCTGATGATCTGAAGATGTTTTGTCGTGTAGTTGATGAATCAGACTGTGATCAACTTTTAGAAAATCTGGTCAGGTTGGATGCTTGGTGCTCACAAAACAATCTGTCATTAAACATCAATAAATGTTACGTAATGTCTTACACTTTGAAGAAAAATCCTCTGTTATTTGACTATACCCTGTCAGGTAGCTCTATTCAGAGGACTTCAACTTTATGTGACTTAGGCGTGACATTTGACTCCCAACTAACATTCGTCAAACACATTGACAGCAAAATTTCCGAGGCAAACCGCATGTACGGCTTTATTGTAAGAAACTGCCGTGACTTCACTCAGAGTACCACCTTGAAGTTGCTGTATTATGCATATGTTAGGTCGAAGCTTGAGTATGCATTGCTAATTTGGAATCCGCATCATATTATTCATATAAGTAGGCTTGAATGTGTTCAAAGACGTTTCTTAAAATATTTGTCACTGAAAGTGGATGGCGTTTACCCGCCCATAGGTATACCTCATGATTCCTTACTTGAAAAACATCTAATCAGCAGTCTTGAAGCAAGGCGCACTTGCCAGTCAGTGATTTTTCTATTTAAGTTGATCAATAATGCTAGTGATGATTTAGCTTTATTGGGTCAGTTATCATTTAACGTACCTAGGCTGACATCCCGACAAAACGTTACGTTTTATCTACCTGCGGCACGGACAAATTATTTACACTATTCCCCTTTACATGTGATGTGTAGGAATTACAATTCTGCAAGTAACAGGATTGATATATTTAACTGCAGAATTGCAGACATAAAAAATACTATTAAGTAACCAGCATGTATCTTTTACACTTTGTAGTCTATTACTTATTACTTATTATTGTCTTTTATATCTGTGTTATGTTCTGTGTTTCCTCACCCTGTAATTGGTATTTACTGTAGGGTGTTGTAATGAATAAAAATAAAATAAATAAATAAATAAACTTAATAGTAAAGCGGAGAGTCTCCGTAGAGCTATTTGAGTCATCATTGAATAAAACATTTTGGGGAGAAGCTGTAAGATTTTCTGCTTATATATTAAATAGAAGTCCAAGTGAAGCTTTGGAAGTAACACCATCTGAAAGCTGGATGGGTGAAAGACCAAACATGTCCAATTTACATATTTTTGGGAGTGAAGCCCATGCAAAAGTGCTTGAAAAACTAAAAAAATTGGATGTTAGAAGTAGGCAATACATTTTCATTGGTTATGCACTGAATGGATATCGACTTTGGGATGATGCACAAAGAAAAATTTTAATAAGAAGAGATGTTGTGTTTAATGGAAGAAAAATAACAGAAAAAGATGATTCTCACGTGAAACTTGAAGAATTTAGTGAAGATGAAAAAAAACGCAACACCAGAAAGCTCATTAGACGAATATGCAGACGAGATAATAGAAAATAGTTAAGAATCAGATGAGCTAATTGAAAATATTGGAGGCTCAGGAGAAAAAATAGAACAACGAAGAACTAGAAGAGAAATCAGGTTACCAACAAGATTTGAACAATATGTGATGCTAGCATATACAGAAGCTGTGAGCACTGAAGACAAAGAAAAATGGGAGGAGGCAATCACCGATGAAAAAGAAGCATTACAGAAAAATAATACCTGGAAATACGTTTATAAAAATGATGTAGAAGATGAGAAAATCACAATAAAGAATGATGGAAAATACAAAGCAGGACTAGTGATACGAGGTTGTGAACAAACTTATGGAACAGACTATAAAGAAACATTCACTCCAGTAGTGAATATTACTTCCTTAAGAATAATGTTTGGTATATATAGAAATAACTATCATATCAAGAAATTTAATGTAAAAACAGCATTTCTGTATGGCGACTTAGTTGAAAAGTTCTACATGGAAGTTACAATGGAATATAGAATTCACAAATTTTCTAAGATCAAAAGGTTTGACAGTAGCTAAAAGAGTAAATTGTGTTTAATAAAATCAAACTGGATCACCTAGGCTGGCTATTACGTTAATGATGGATTATTGATTGGATCAGATGAAGAAGAAATGGAAGCTTAACTAAAAACCTTGAAAACACAGTTTGAAATAATTTCGATGAACAATCCAACTACTTTTTTAGCAATGGAAATATTAAAAGTATCTGATGGAATTTTTCTCAAACAATCTAAATATATCAGGCATATTTTAGAAACCTTCCATATGGAGAATTCAAAAACAGTAAGAACACCTATGGAAACTAATAAAGGAGAAGATCAGCCCGTAAACAGAAGATTTCCTTGTGGTCCTATTGTATGGTGCTCAAGGAAGCAACCAATAGTGTCGTTGTCAAGTACTCAATCTGAATATAGCTTCAGAATGTGTTAAACAACTATTGTATATAAAGTGTTCAATCAAACAACTGATTTGTAAAAATGTTGAAGTGTCATTGAATGTGGACAATCAGAATGCAACCAGATTAGTTAAAAATAATCAGTTTAATAGAAGATCAAAGCATGTATAGTAGATGTGAGATTTCACTTTATAAATGAACAGGTGGAAGAGAGATTGATTAATTTGGTTTATATTCCTTAAGGATATCAAGTGGCAGATGTTTTAACAAAACCACTCTGTGTAAACAAATTTGAAAAAATCAGAGATGTCTTGGCGTGTGAAATGTAAAAAAAAGTTTTTTAAAACTGTTTAATAATTTTGTCTTGTAATTAGGAGAAGGTGTCGTGAATGATTACAAAATAAGAAATTACTATGTTTAGTCGTAGTGTACTCGATGTAATAACTTCGAGTATTCGGGTGTCTGAAAGGTTTGTAAGATTGACAATTGTTGATAAGGAGAGTTGTTATTTTTTATGGAACTAAGTTCACTGAGGAAATGCAGTACCTTTTCTTCTGAGAAACAGTAAAAGTACAAACCCGAACAGTTGATGAGTTCCTAAATAAAGGGTGGGCCATCCGTTGGTTTCTTTTTTAAATTGGTATTAAAACTACACTTTTCAATAATATGCAACACTCGATATTGATTCATCTTCCTTTACATCTTAATAGTAATCATTTATTAATTTACGGGTTAATGAATTTCTTCAAAGCAATAAAAACATTGTCCTCTCCATCCTAAAACACAGATAATACGTGTAAGACGTGTGAATCCCTACATCTCCGTGATGCATAATGCAATTACTATGGACATAGACAATAAATTATGAAAAATGTCTCACAAATAATGTCTTCTAAGTCCAAAAATCATAAAAACTATTAATGTTAATTCACTATCTGTCACTCGCAGGGTTGCCACGTCTAACGACGATCACGTCCCGTGATGAAGGGTGCGACATGAATCTTTGACATTTGCTGCTTTTGAATTTAAAGTAGGGATACAAACATAGTACTTATGATAGTTGGAGATAGGCTGATAAGACTTCTTGAAGAATATTTGAAAAATGTGAACCCCGTCAGGGTCTGTTGTCAAATTGCAAATGAAGTATCTGAAAATTCTTACATACAGTGGACCTTCGTCATAGTTTACTATCCTGATTATGATCATTTTTAGCAGATGTGTTGTATCATCAAATTGATGAACAAATATAAGAAAGCTCTTATATACCTACATACAGAGGATTTTTCGTGTAAATTTACTAGGTATCATGATTATAAGCATCTTTGGTGGATTGCTCGATCCGGAATGGGATATGAAAATATTTTTGGTATCATCTAACCGTTGCAATCAGTGCACAAAAACTGTGACATATGATTTATAGCATAACCTGCTGCCCTATCAATACAAATTTAATATACAGGTCGTCTAGCCGTGGGGATGCAGTGGTCGGGATGAATATTATGGCAGCTACTGATGATCTGGGCATGTCTGGTAACAACGTATGAAGAGAAACTCGCTAACTTCACAAACTTGAAGATTCTGTAGAATTTCTTTGAAAATGGTGAAAGATATGTCTGATTTGGCTGGATAATGTCGCAACCAAATGGCAGTCACTCTTTCTGACATAGTCCGGATCGAAAGAAGACGATACTCGTGAAATGTATTGATACTTCTAAATATAAGATTGTATCGAACATCCCTACTGTCAAGATGTATAACTCAAGGTACCGACGGAGCTATTTTGCGGCGTCATGGAATTAATTTTAAATTTTCATTTGCATTTTTTCAAGTGTTGTGCAATGGTTTTGTGAAAAATGTCACGAATAGTCTTATAAAGCATAGTAGAGTATATTTCAACAGTTGGCGGAACTTACTCCACTGGGGACAGGAGGGTTAAACGGGATATTAATGCACAATCTGGCAACCCTGTCGCACCCTCACAAAATGGCCGCTGACAACCACACAAGTCACCGTGTTGTCACTGAATAGCATGGAATTAAACCTTCAGAGTACATGTTTTGTGACTGGTACCAAGAGTTGACAGATCCCACACATGTGTCACTCCTTGAAATGCAATAATCAGCTGTATTCAAATAATGTCTAATATAAATATTACCTAGAATGTGTACTCGTGAAAAAAGAAAAATATGGCAAATTTGTAGTTTTTTTGCAGGTTTTAGGTTTGCTGGTAGCTTTAAGGCATATATTTGGGAATTTCTTAATCGCTGTGAATATAGTGTGGATGTTTGTTCAGTTCATGAACAACGAAAAATATTCAACTTTATGGATGTATGGATATCAAAAAAACTGAATGGTTTTGTGGGACTATCAATCTACGGTGCCATAATGGTTCTGATGAACGGCAAGTATATGAATGAATGTTTGGAAACGAGCAATATCTTTTAGTGGAGCCTGTCATCAAGTAGGTGCTTAATGGCTATCTGCAAGAGGTTTATAGGAAAAAACACCCAGTATCGCATATCAATTGAAGGAAATAATATAAACATGAAAAAAAAAACAATAGTAATTAAAACATGAATTTTATACAAAAATCCAACATTTCTTTAAATTTTGACTGAATTATATGTAATTTCTTAATATTCAATAAGCTGGTGATGTTTCAATGACAAGCTGTCATCTCATACTTTGACAGTATTTTGTTTTCAACATTTCATAGCTATTGGTTGCTAAAATTTGTTGATTGGAACTTGAAGCCCATTCGTTGTATTTGACGGTCTGTTACCCTATAGGTGGAGAATAACGGACTGTTGTTGGTGAAATTGGCCCTTAGTATGTAAAATATTGATTGTTTCACTTCTGCTGTGGCATGTTGCTGGAACCAGAGAATGTGCAAGTGCATGTAATCTAACAGCTACTCTATTCGGATGCATTGTTTTTCTATGACGACATGTGGATTTTCAGAACTTCAAATCCTACAGTTCTGCTTATTAACATAGCCTCCCAGATGCAAATGGGCTTCATCCGAAAAGATGATTTGGCGACCAAAATTGACGTCCGTTTCCAATTGATTTAGAGCTCACATAGAGAGACGATAACGAAGCGGATGATCATTTTGTTTCAACTCTTGCACAAGTTGCACCTTGTAACGAAGTAATCTCAGGTCGTTATGCAATATTCTCCGCACAGAAGTGCGACTGATGCCCACTTGTTGTGCTCTGAGACGAGTTGACTTTTATGCGCTTTCACGCACAATCTGGGCAACAGCAGCAACGTTTTAGGCTGTACGTAGAGGTCATACCCTCTGTTATCCACAAGCGGGCCAGTTTCACGAAGCTTCTTCACGAATTTTCGTATACCAGTCGTGCACGGAGCTTCATTCTGACCAGATAGTCTTCTCAATTTTCGCAAAGCTTCTGCAACACATCACTTTGAAAATAGTTTTTCAATATTTCTCACCTTTGTTCAAGATTAACATGACCAATTGCTAACA